CGGTTGAACCGAAACAAAAATACCATTCCCAAATATTTTTTTTTTTTGTACAAAAACCTGATTTTGATCGGTACTTATATGGCAGCTATATGCTAAAGTTGTTTGATATCGGCAGTTCCAACAAATGAGCAGTTTCTTGTAAGGAAAGAGCGTGTTCACAATTTGAGACCGATATCTCGAAAACTGAGGACTAGCTGGCGTATGTATATACAGACAACCGCACAAATGGTCAAATAGCCGTACATAGCTAAAGGACTCCGCTCGTCACGCAGATTGTTTATATAAATTTAAAAGAGTCTCAGACATACTTTTTTAATGAAACAATGAGCATATGAAATTCGAAATGAGACTTCACCAAATTGAATCATTTATCGAAACTACCATAACGCAATAAAAGTATGGAAATGAATTTCGAAAACATGCACGCAAAGACAACCTCATTTAATAGGCCTGTCAGCCCTGAATAAACAACATGGCACCAGAAAAAAAATTAATAAAAACAGGGAAAAAGCAGTTGCCACCGTCCGCTGCCATTACACCAGGCTTAGCCAATGCAAACAAACAACAGCAATGCGACACTCAATGCACAGGAAGGGAAAAAATATGGTGGAATATGTAAATGAGGAAACAAATCATTGAAAAATTGTCACCGTGTATGCAAAAAGAAATGTAATAATAAAGTATGCAAGGAAACAGTAAAAAATAAACCAACTTCAGTGTGTGTTTTTGTGTGCAGAAGCGCGAGACCCAACGTGCAGGATACCTTAGGCTATACGCCAGCAGTGGAGGTTATTACCGTTATTACCGCCACCATATCCGCCATTATCGGTTTGTAAGAGTGAGTGTATGCAACACAATTACAACAGAAACAACCACCAACAGACGCGACCGCGCAGCAACAAAGCCATCATTACCGGTGTCACCGCCGCCAACCGACTTCGACACTGTCACCAACCAAATCAACAGTGCCACCACAATGCGACGCATGCAAATGAAACCGCAACCGAAGACGGACACACACACGCGGCTCTGACGGCACGGAACCGGAGGCGCGCAGACACACTAGTCCACGGCCTCGGTGATATGTGCGAGCGCAGCTGACAACTTCGAAAAGAACCACCAATATGAAGGCAAGCTAACGCGGATATGCATATGAGGCATATGAGACATATGTATGTATGCATGTAGGGTGTGCTGTGCAGCAGACAAATACAACAAACCTAGCAAAGTTCTGCCGTGTGGCAATGGCGGCAAGTTGACAACGGCAGCCACTTCCTTTCGCTCCGTAATTTGTGTTTCCTTTCACACGCCATTGAGCTGGCTGCGCGAAGGAAGACGCCGCCAACAGACTGCCAGCAAAAGCAGATGAAAGATCTTACAAAAGAAAAATATGCAAACAAGCATCTCGCGCCATCTTGCGCAACGCGGCGCTCCAGTAACATTGGCACACACATAGACAATCCACGCATGTGTGTGTGTGAATAAATTGTGGCTTAATATCCGCGAAGGCAAATAAAGTTATTTTGAAACAGAGTCTGCATTCACAGAAACACAAGAAACATCATAAATTCGTGAATTGTTTATGAATTGGTGAAACTGCCGCTGCAGGCGGTGGAGGGGTGACAAGGGTGGCTGCAAATGTAGGTTTGGAATGCTACTTATAAATTAATAAATTTACATATGCGTCGCTTCTGTTGCCGCCGTTCGACTATGATTACTTTGAGCTGTTTATTGTTGTTGTAAGTAGCAATAAATTTGTAATGTCACATTGACAGTTGCTGGTGGCGCTGATATCGGTAGTGCCACCTAACACTCAAACACGCATTTGTATGTGTGTGTGTGTGCACATGTATTTGCTTAAGTCTGCTCGTGTGACAGTTTCGAAACCGGCCTAACTTTTACCACATTTCGGATTGTTGGGTTGCTTGCTTAGCTCAAACGCGTCCCTTTATGCTTCCGTTTGTGGGCTTAATTAAGTTTTCAAATTGAAATTTGAAGAAAATTAAGTGGGCGTTAGTTTGAATTTTTTTTTACAATTCTTTTATTGCCCTTTCATTGGGACATTCATAAATTCATTGAAATGCTGGCGTCAATTAGGAGCTCAATTCGTGATGATTACAATGTAAACGAATCTAGACAAAAAAAAAAAAAAAATGTTTATTAACAATTGCTTAAGCTTTTTAGAGTGTCGGAGGATATCAAAATTTCATTACCACCCACCATTGCTTTTCTAAAAACAGTTACTTAGTCCTGAACCATCTGTAGGAAAAGAATTAAATAACATTGTGACAAAAAAAAAAATACCCGGAAATAGTAAATAAAACGCAAAATATTTAAATATTCATCAATATTTATTTTGTCGCCTTCAAAGTAATCCCCTTCAGATGTTATGCCAATGATTTTTCCACTCCTCGAAGCAATTTTCATAAACTCTTTTTGGGATGGCCTTCAGCGAATTTTGTTTTATCTCGTCTCATGCTCTCCATGAATGTGGGGTGGGAATTTACACCATCGAGCATGCCCAAAGAGACCGCTTTACGGTACCTTTTCTGAAAATAATTCAGCTTTATCGGGACGAGTCAAGCACAAACATGTTTAATATACTCTGTTCCGAGGAAAAAAATATCATGCGACGGAATCTTTAAGGTTGATGTCATGAAAGTGCGTAGAAAACGAAAAACTTGCATAGATATTACATAGAGCTCATAGATTATTGTACAATGACTAAGAAAGAATCTCTTTAAAATCAGAGGCGGCTCGAGACCATTTACCGCCTATTTTGCCTTAACATCCTGTACAGGGTAAAAATGTATGAAGAAAATTAGCCAAAATGCCGCTCTAAAACTCTTGGGTCTTAGGCAATTGCCTAACTTCTCTATATGAAGGGGCCCTACTTAAAACGAAACTCAGCGAGGTAGAAAAGTCAAATAATATTTTTCAGAAATTCTATTAAATAAAATTTGAAAAATTATAACTGAAAAATACTTTTAGAAAATATGCTCTATTGATCAGGACCTATTCCTGCAATAGTGGTACTAGCACTTTTAACAAATACAGTAGAGGATAACAATTTAGTATGTCCTAATTTCATTGTTTCATCTGTCGCAAAAAAAATAGCATTTCAATCCTACAAACTTATATATCAAATACTATTTAAGTATATATTCATATGTATTTATTTATGTATTTATGCACTCAATCGCAACATTTCACTCAAACTATTTTTCGCTCACCATTTGTTCAGAGAAACGTGGTGGAAAATGTGAAACATAGCAAAAGCAAGCTGAAAAATGCTCTCCAATGCTCATTCCACACGAGCGACGCAAAGGAAGTGGAACGAACAAAACCCGTTCTGCTTCTTATTCCACTCAATATAAATCGGCCAATAAATAAAAAATTAACAAATGCGAGCAGCTGTCAACAGACGCTGTTCACAGAAGAAATCTTAACAAATAGAAAAAACAACAAAATGACGAATTTATCATGGCTGCATTACGCGCGCGCAAAGGAGATGGCTATAGTACAACTCTGCCCTCTATTTGAGCAAACGTAGTGTTCATAAGCGGCAGGCGACATTTTGGAATCAACTTTGGGCGGCTATAGACAGTACAACAACAAAGCAGAGAGCCACTGTTTTAGTCATACAAGTAATTCTATCTCTTTTTGACTTAGGACTTGAGAAAATCCAATTGGAAGACACCCATCTCGTTCATATCAGAAGGAAATATTCCCAACTATATACTCTCTCGATACCAACGAAACAGAAGTTTAGCTCTTTCGCGCACATTTGCATAGCGGATCTCTGTGAATTCCTATAATGTAGAATAACTTCAGTGCGTTTATTCAATTAGCTTGCATATGTGTTCAAAATGTGTAAACTCTCTTGCAGCACTCACTGAGAGACCATGTTCTAGCCATACTATTTAAATGAATATGTGCACATTTGTCGCTGTCGCAATTGCAGTAGCCTGCTCCACTATGAAGTCTATGCGAAAATTTTACCTCTCTCAGTTGGCAATCACATGCCCATTTTGACTTAGTTTTGCAGAGAGTCATTTCCAAAAATGATTGGGGGCTCTGTCAAGCATTTTGTTGACGTGAGACTGTTTTTTACACTCCTAAGTGGATGAGTGAGGACTTGACTTGATTGCTTTGAGGAAGGTGCCCGCTGTCTTCAACGCAGCAAAAGAACCAAATTGCTTAAGTAGGCGTGTTGTTGTAATTCTGTTTTAATTCCGCTTTGCAAGGTGCTCAGTTTCATTGTATCGCTCCCTTCTCTCCGCCTTGTGGCTACCACCCATCAGGCGGCTTTTCAACTGACCGTTGCTTACTGTCTGCTGCCAAGTTGAGTTTCAAGTGTTGAAAAGATAAATTTCTCCGCTCGTCGGGTTAGATTCTCAACTTTTCGACTCGTTTGTGCCGCTCGCCTTGTGATCTTTTTGCCTTTAGCTGCTACAACATTTCGCTAATATGATTTGTTGTTGGCGCTTTTTGCTATTGTTTTTTGGCTGGCTCGTTGTGAATGGCCGTTTACTCGTCGCTCAGGCAATTGTCGCCTCCATCGATCAGCTGCTGCTGCGGCCTTTCAGCTTGCCACTCGAGTGCGTTTCGCACAGTCGACCCCAACAACGCAGCGCCGCCGCTCGCTCTGTTTCAATTTATACTGCCGACGCTTTCGTCCAGCTCGTCGCTTCGTTGCCAATGAAACGCTACCGCCTCCGTGGCTATCAGCGCGTCTTAGCTGTTTTTACCAAATCCGCCAAACAACTGTTTGCGGCGCGTTTGCTATGTTGCGCCTAAGCTATGTCGCTCGCCGTTAACTGAGCAGCGCGTACGACTGGGGCGAGCAGGCGCCACCTGACATTTCGCCAACAGCCGCCGTTTGGCATCTTCATTCATTGGTCAGCGTGACAATGGAGCGGTTGTCGTGTTAACGGATTTTCGACTTGTCGCCGTCGCCACTTTACGCATTGTAAACTCGTACGCGAAGCGTGTTGCACGCGTGCACTAAAATCGAAAAGCGAAACAGTTCGACCAAAGAAATCAAATATTGAACCTAAAGTACTTGCGATAGTTTGTTGAACCAGATGAAAACCGGAAATTACTTGTATTGAATCAGTGTGAGACCAGAAGGAAATTTTTCGAAATTGTGACGAAAAATAAAGTTTTGAAGTAATAAAAAAAATGCTCAGAAACTATTACGATTGAAAGAAAATTGTTCCGGCTTGAAACATCCACAGTGTCAGTTTGAGTGAAAAGAATATAATTTTCCAAGTGTTAACATTAAGATAAAATGCTTCTGAGCAACAGCTCCACTGAAGCACAGCAACAACAACGAACCGCATCAGCACCATCGTCGCAAGCCCAATTTAGAAAAGAAAAGCTGCACGATAATCAACAGCACCAGAGTCAACAGGAAAGACGAAATTTCGGCAACAATAATAATAACAACAACTACTACTACCATCACGAAAAGCATAATCTGAATTATTTGCCCGCTAACGTGACACAACAGGTCCCGACACCAGCGTCAGCATCAGCATCAGCGAAATCCACACCCACCACCGCTGCCGCCGCCGTGGCAGCAGCCGCTGCAGCTGCCACATTGTTGTTAAACCAATCTGGCGTTTTCGCAACAACTGCCGACGCGGCAACTAGAACAGCGACAGCTACCACAAATATCATCAACGGTAATTCCTGTGTCGGCGCCACGGATTTCTCAATCGCTGCGATAATGGCGCGAGGCGCGAACGCCTCGAGCCGCGAACCCTCCGAAAGGAGTTTGAGTGAGTAATGAGATGTACTTATCGTTCTTGTATTCTTATCATGCATTTGTTGAACAGCACATGTGTGCCTGCTTTGTTAGCGATACTGTGCGAGTATTTCATTTGTTAAAAGTAGTAGTAAATGTCACAAAATATTTTCATACTATGAAATAAAGTCCAGTGTACTTGGGTTCCACCTAGGAACTTTAGGAATATCTATATACATATATATGTATATATAACATCACTTTTCATAAGTTTACAAACGAAGGAAAAACGATACAATAGAAACCACTCATACTGAAAAAATTTCGGTTTTGGTTATAAAATGGTTATATGTATATTGGTGATATCTGACAGCGGAAGCTGAAAATGTAGTGAAATGAAGATATGCAATAAAAAACATAACAAAATATCGTAGACACATGGTCTTTCTAAATTCTTTCTAAATTAATATGAGACCCTACAGTCGAACTTCAATAAAGCGAACCTCAAGGGGCAAAAAATAGTCTTCGTTAGGTAGAGAACTCTAATATAATTACATTTGTTTAGAAAGGTTGTGTTTTATGTTCACTTCTCTTAAAAGTTATAAGAAAGAGTTATTTTTTGCTTTATATGTCCCAAAATATTACGTAAACTCTGATTTCTGGATAAAAGCTTTGATTAGTTTTTCTTGGTATCTTGTTATGTTTTTATTCACATAAAAATTAATTAATAATAATAAATATAAATACAAATAAATTAATAATAATCATAAATTCGATTTCATGTATTACTTTGCATTCAAGGAAGAATTTTTTCTTTGATGTTCTTTAAATGAATTTTTTTCCGTTTCTTCAATATATTTTCGCTAAAGAGATTTCCTAGAAACCTTCTTGCAAGAACATACATAAAGGTTTTCAGTAACTCCTCATAGGGTTTCCAACTATACAGGAGATAAACTTTATCTATATAAAAGTAAAACAAATATTGAGTTTGCCACGGAATTTGTAACACCAGGTAAATGTCAGAGATCCTATAAAATATCTTATATACATCCGTTTGTCTGTATATATACGAACGAAGGTCTCAGTTGAGCTATCGATCTAAAATCTTGCACACATACTTTTCTCCTCAAGAAGCCTCATATTTGGCGAAACTGCGGATATCGAACCACTACAGGATGTAGCTTTCTGAACGTTCTGAATAAAATGCTTGTATGGCAAGCTTTTACATTTGGCGAGATATTTTCTAGAAATTTGGCCTGAATTATTGTCAACGATAATTGTACAATCTCTGAAGAAATTGTTCAGATCGGATAACTATAGCGTGTAGCCTACATACAAACGGAATATACGAAAGAAAGTGAAGTTCTTCTAAGGAATATTTTGTATTTGTGAAGGATACTATAGCTTCTTCTTAAGTTGTAGCCCAATGTTAATAGTTTTGAATATTATATATATTTTCTATATTAAGAGTATTTCTCTCATGGGAATGTTAGCGAAGGGAATATTGCGCAGGAAAGTCATCTAAGGAATACTAGAGAATCTAGAAAGGGCGCAGAAGGGAGACATTTAGAATATGCTCCATTTTTCACACTGCCTGCGAATGTCAACGCTTATATTCACATTATAAACGCATATAACTATTTGTTGACTTCGTTAGTGTGATTGACTATTCATTTATTTACCGTACTTTTATTTTTGCACTGAATTTCCTTGTTTCATTTTGAGTTTAATCGCCTTTAGCTTAGCATTAACGGCGAATTATTTCATTATCAGATTGAATTGACCTGCACTATACGGTATTATTTCATTAACTCAAAGCAGCCCTGCAAACAAAAATCCCAACCGCAAACACACACAAAATTATGTATTTATCAAAAGTGTTAATGGCATGTTAATCTGCATATCATGTCTGGACATAATTTTCTTGTGAGACTGTTATGTTGAAACGAAGTTATTTTGTTCAACCTTCTGTTTTCGTAGGTTTATTTGATGTGTATGCAAATATTCACACATTTCGAAATCAGTCAGGCAAATCAAGAAAAGTTTCACGCCCATAAATAAATATAATATATGCAGAAACACTCGTAATTATTATTATATCCGAAGTGTTGTTGCGCACATTTATTTATGCATATTAACAGTAAAACGCCTCGAAATCGCCACAGTAAGGCGCTACTAGCCCAGAGGCACTCAGCCGCCAGCCGCTAGCCGCCAAGCATGGAGACGGACGAGACAGCTGAGACAGCCGACAGCGCATGCAAATAAATGTTTTTCACACTTCAACATCGTTGAAAGGAAGAGGAAGCGCATCATTTTAGGCTTTTCGAAGAAGTCACCGCAATAACTAAATAGTGTGTGTAAAAGCAAAGACAAGTGCGAGAGTGTGTTTGTGTGCGTTTGTCAGTTCTTCACTTCATTGTGATATGCAAATTTCCAACAGTATTTTCCTCTACTGCTGTGGAGTGTTGAGATCTGACAGTGTTAACCAATAAATCTGCAAAACACACAAAAATCGCTAAAAATATCTGCATATATTTGAGCTTAATGTTTAATTTTATAATCTAACGCGCTCGGGTTAAAACATTAGGGGAGAATAATAGTATGAACGAAAGGTTAAATGTCATAATTTATGTGGCACTTTTTTGAAACACGCAATAAAATGAAACTATTCCGAAATCTACATTTATTATTTTTTTCTTTTTTTTTTTTATACAAAATTAAAACTTTTTATTAACTGCTTTTAATTAAATAAGCCGTACTATACACAGTTCCTAATACTTAAGCAAAATTATTTATTTTATTAGTAAATATTTTTAGCAAATTTTTAGCAGAGCTTTCGCAACAGATTGACAATATATGAAGTTTATATGTTATGGTGGATCAGTATTAACGAATAATTTTAAATCTAAAAAATAGATTCTTAGACACCTCTCCGAAAATCTCTCCTATTATGAGCTCTTATTTGTAACAGGAAGGTGCTCCTATTCTTATTAAATAATTCCTCTCATAGATTTTATTTGGCAATCGAATGCCCTACAAAATGGTCTCTTACTATTTCTTCTTAAACCTAATCGCTTAAATAAAATATTTTGAAGTTTGACTTTTTTAAGGGGATACATGTGTTTCCTCGGATTAAAAACAGTATTTTTCAACAGTTTTTTTCTCATATAAAAATTTAAATATTTTTTTTTTTTAGAATTTTTTATTGTCACAAACAAACATTATTAATAAAGAAATTCTGAAATTTTTGGAAAAAACATTTTAAACTCGGGGATTGCGATGCCTTTTCCGGTGACCCCTCGGAAAACAGAGATCCTTACAGGATCATCTCAAAATGGAATATACGTATTTTAGTTAAAACCTTAACTTAGAACTTGGAAAAGAAAAAAATAAAAATTATATTTCTGGCAGATATTTTTACAAAAAAGTGAAAAAATCGCGAATTTTTTTTTTCAAATAGTTGTAATCGAAAAAAAATTATTCGTCCAAGACTTTTAGAATTATATCTCAAAGGCCTGTATAAAATTTCATAAAGATCAATGCAGTAATTCTCGAGAAATTCTTCCAACCGACTTCAAAAAACAGTTTCGAGAAAACACAGTTTAAGGACGGCGCACTTAGCCTAGCTAGCCTCGAGCGCACGGCTGTATCTCCGAAACTATCACTCGGACCAACTTGAAAATTTGAATTTTCTAGAGTTATTGCAGAATTTAATGAAACAATAAAAAATCGATTTTTTGAAACCTGTAAACCCCTGTAACTCTTAATAGAAAATGTCGCTGAAAACGAAAAAAAGTCTTCTTTGTCCTCTTACAAAATTTTAAGGTTACATGCAGTTATTGTCATGAAATGATAGCAATTCCTATTAGGAACATTTGTAGTGAATTTTGGCGAAAGAATCTGCAAAACATTGTTATAGAACACCGGGCTCCCCTGAGAATTCCGGACCTGAAGGAATCGTCCTTGATCTTCCCCACTCTTTTCAGCGATCCATACCATACCTACCGTTCAAGGCGCTAGTTGGAATTTTCTAAGACCATCCACTTCTTTATTATCTTCAAAGCTTAGGTTTTAATTCGACAGTCCAATTGGCAAATACTTTTAGGCTCAGAAAACATTATTTTTTACCAGTTCTTATCAATTTTTCGGCAACTCAGTTGTCAAATAAACTTCAATATAAAAATTAGGAGCTATTTGCTAAAATGCATTTTTATTTAATAGAGACACAGAGTTCGAAAATTAACAAAGTCGATAATTCATTTCCAGGATTCAATAAAATCCTGATAATTAGTGCAAAATGCAAAAACGCAAAGAGATGCAAATATTTTAATGCTAATGAGTATACAAATGATGGAAATGCGAGAACTTGATTACCCGATAATTGTCGCATCACATTTTCAGTAAAATCAATGTCAACCAGAAAAGCAAAAAAATGCGCCGCATTCAACGAATTACCTAAATTATTTATATTATTTATAAGCAAAAAAGAAGTAATAATAATAAATATAAAATGCAAAATGTGCACAGTGCACAAATATATACGCTTGAATATGTGAGAATGCGGTCGTAAATTGTTTGAGAGCCAATTGGTCAAGTCATTTGGATGAAATAATTTCATAAAACAAATAATTGAATTTCCTATCTGAAATATGCATCTGCGCGGCGCCAATTACGCACTGGGGGCATGCCGCACTCACTCACTCCGAATACATGCAAGTTTCGGTTGCAGTTGCATATCGTTGTTGCTGTCATAACAGCCGCCAACTTAATTGCGTCTCATTAGTAGCAGGGAGTGCATACTGGTTGCAACGCACCGATATCCACAATAGCCATTTTCAAATTTACATATGTATATATGTATATGTGTATGTATTTATGTAGCTGTGTGCCCAAAACCGCCCAAAGAGGCAATTGCGATAACAGAGGGCCGTTCTGGCTGTCACGTCTGCATGTAGCTTTTGACAGCTAGCGAATTGTACGCGCTGGAGCCAGAAGGCGGGGTGCCACTGGAGTGTCACGTTGTTGACAGACCTCGCCCTAATAGACCTAATCGAGGTGGCAGACATAGATGCACATTTACACACTCTTTTGCTTGCAACATATCGCCAATATTTACCTCTACAATTCTATAATAATTAGCAGCATTTTACAAAAGCAAATGTAAATTTTTCTTCTTTCATCCTTCTCCGAACTTAGGTCCACTTTCGGTGGAACCCTATCCAGAGCCAGACGATGACGTCGATGTGGACGTGGACGTGGTCGACTGTAGTGACTCCGAGTCGCCGTCGGGGCGCGCCATGCGTGCCCATCACCGTCATCAGTTGCAGCAACAGCACCTGCCACAGGCGCACCACAAACTACAACGGCACACGCACCACAGTCAGCATAGCGCCAGTGTTAGTAACTGTGATGGCACCGGTGTACAACAACAACAAACGAGGCGTAGCAGCAGTCGGGGGCGTGCTTCACCGCAGAGCCCAAACAGCTCCACCGCCAACGACGAGGACCGCCTGTCGCCGGAGCCCGCGCAGGTAAAACGCAAAGTCAGCACAACCCACTCCTAAGCCCCCCGGAACCATACGCGACTAATTTGCTTTTATTTTGTTGACAGTCTGCACCGAAAATTGTTGGCTCCTGCAACTGTGATGAGCTGCTTCCGGTGCAGTGTCACCTGGAGACGAAGGAACTGTGGGACAAGTTCCACGAACTGGGCACAGAGATGATAATCACCAAAACGGGGAGGTGAGTCAATATTGAATTACTAATTAAGTGAAGCATAGTGTGTTTGTCTCTAAGCTCTAGTACAGCTTGATAATGTAAGAACTTAATTTTAATTTTTTTTTTCCTAATTATGTAGAAGTGTTAATATTGAAAAAATATATTTCTTGAGAACATAGTTGTGCAAACATGGTTAGACAATGGGAAGCTTTAAGTTCTTAGCTTTAGTTATAACGTGATAGCGGCACTTTTTTGAAATTTTGAATTTTCTCCACACAAATTTTTAGAGAAAAGCACAATTTACAAGTCTAATATAGATCATATCCTTGATTTTCCATAAATCAGACTCTCACCTAAACAGCAAATTTTTTACAAAAAATAACAACAACAACAAAATTTTGACGCATGTTTGCGTTGCGTGTTGCAAACACAGTTATGTATGTACATAGTAAACCGAGTACTTTTCGTATTTGCGTCATGTGGTTGTTGTGCATGTGTTGTTGTCGTTGTTAGTTCCGTTTTCGCAAATATCCTTGCTCTTTAATTACGAACAGGACGCCGACAATGAGCGCACATTCTGCCTACCACAACCACACACACATACACAGACCAAGCCTCTTATGGTCTGAAGCAAAGTTGACTTGTTGTCACAACGCTCAGCGGGTCACTCATTAGCTGCTTGCTTCGTTACCCATTCGGCAAATTGTAGTCCTTTGTTCTTGGCCAAAATGTGGGTGCACTTTCGTCACACATGCCAAGCGTAAACGCCTGGCCGGCCGCCCGGCCTCGTAACGGCGGCACTCAGCTTGTTACACGAGCCGTCCGTCGGCGTTTCGCCTACCCCGCTTTGTAGATATGAATCGATGTCAGCACTTCGTTTGTCATCATTTCAGAGCGTATTTGTTTTTGCACTCATTCTAATGTGGAATTGCAACGCGACTTGCATGCGTGGGCGTGGCAATGTGGCAAACACATGCAAGGCAAATACAGAATTGTATTACAGCGAATCTATTAAATGTAAATTTTTGTTTCAAAAAATCGATTGACAGATTCCAAAAGAATGCAAGCACTTCATTCCGATCGTTCAATTTGCTATAGTGGTCCGATTTCGGTTCGGATCTGGCGAATGGGTAGACGGACAACCAGATGGTCATGGCTGAATTGACTCAGCTCCTCATGCTGATCTTTTACATTATAGAGTCTTCGACATTTCCTTCTAGAGGTTACAAGCTTCGTTCCAAGCTTTATACACCCTGTTCAGGGTATAGCTAATGAACTTGACAGTATTTTCTCCGATATATATAACCCTTTTCTAACTCATAATTTCATTATTTACGCTACATGCAACTTATCGCTAGCAGTTAGTTATTATATGGCTTGTTGCCGTCACATAATGGCAATGTAATGCTTTCTATGACTCCTTGACATGCAAATGCGCATGCGTAATGAAAATTTCTCAAAACCGACGGGGGAAAAATATGTATGCATTTGAGGATTTTCAACAAAGTATGCAAATGCAATTCTTCTGTACTTATGTAGTACAGGGTTTGTCCGGAACGTAATAGGACTAACCCGATTTAAAAAAAAATGTATTGAATCAATCGTTACAACTCTTTAAAAACTTTAAAAAGAGGTGCATGCTGCTTGGATCGCCTTTTACAGGCTATTTCAGGCAAGGAAACGAAAAAGTCCGGGGATCTCATCTGGGCTGCAGAGCGGCTGCGGTAGCGTTGGGATGCTGGCCTTGGTTAGGTAGCTGTTCACAAGAATGGCGGGGAGAGTCGGTGTCTCGTCGAGGTGCAACTTACAATCGGCTGCGATGTCTCGTCGGACCCTTCATTTGAGTCTCTTGAGGATTTACGCGTAAAACTTGAGGTTGACGGTCCAAGAGGAAAAAATTCATGGTGGTCGACGCCTTTGATGTCATAAAAGACAATTAGCATCGTTTTTGTTTTCATCAGCGACGTCTTCCCGGCCCTTCAAAAAGGCCTGGGGCCACCGAAACGCACCACTTATTGCTAAAGTAACATCTGGGTAAGCCTACTTGATCATATCAAACATCTCTGTCGTAGATTTGCCGAGTTTCACACAGAATTTAATCGTGTACCCCTACGAATGCTGTATTTTCGGCTTGCACCACTCACAGAAACACGTGGGGCGGAAATGTTTGTTCTGACTAGGAACGTCCTCTACTGAATACAGTCAATGCGCGCGCGCTCCGATGTACAGTATATTGTATGATATCTATAGATGTCTGACTATCGGTCGCTCTTCAGGAGATATTGAAAAATCGCCGAGCGTGTATATGCCATTCCGACGATCAGTTAACTCTTGTCAGCACCTGTGTAAGAAATAATAAATTCGAAACTCGAAAAAGATTTTTGGAAATCAGAACTGTTATTTGCAAGAATCTATAGAAAAATATATATAAATTTATACACTCAATCACACGAATGCGTTAGGAAGGAAGTCCAATCGGGCTCTTTGTCATTGCTTCATGCCACAAAACGCAGAGTGACTTGGTTGTGGTAAACAGCGGCATAACACGTGGTCAGCTGTGTTTTTGTTACGCAGTCAGTGGTCGACAGCCAGCTCGATCAATGCAACGGTAGCAAAAGTGGTCGCAGCGGTTGCACAGCCGTGTTTTTCAAGCTATTGTTAGGCGCGTTAGTTCTACTTTAAGTGCCCCTTTGCACCTATATCACACATACAAAGCAACTTAGTGCAATAATATGAATATGACTGCATACAAATACACATGCAGCATGCCAATTTGTGTGAGTGTGTGTGTTTGTTGGAAGGGAAGGTGCCAAAATGTTTGCCAACACTCGATTTTACACGCTTCGAGCGCACAAGCAAGACAGTAGCTGCAGCCACTCGGCTCCACATGCCACTTCTGAGAAATTGAAAACAAATTGAAAAACTGAATTTCACCAAATTGGCATTTCGTCTAATTGCCACGGCAGTTGTTGCGTTGAAAATTGTGATTTGCACGCCACACCACGCCACATTCAATAAAAATCCACTTTTACGGCAATTTTGATTAAAGAAAAGTCGGGGAAAACTCGAAAATGAACACGCTTATCAGCGGCTTGCGTTGGTGTTGCAATGGCGTGCGAATAATGCGAAAGGCATTCACACAAAATGCTTATTCACACTCACACACACACACATGTGGGTGTGCGTTGGCCGCCATTCGCCCTTCAGGCACTTCGGCTTTTTACCGCTTTATGCTTTACTATTTTACGAATTTGTTGATATTCACTAGTTTTTCGCGCCATAAAACGTACCATAAAATCGACACTTGCCACTTCCCGCCCACTGAATGTGTGATATGTGGCGCGATGCCGGATTTAGACTTTCACACTGGCGCGGCGAAAATAGAACCCCGCATGTACGTGTGCAAATGCTGGCTTTTATGTAAGGAAAAATAGTAAGTAAGTAGCAAGACCTGCGCTTCGATTTGTAAGTGTGTTTGTGTGTGAGGTTGGAGCAGCTGAACACACTGCTAACCGTCCATAAAATGTAAATGGTGAAGACTATGTATGATTTACGGTTTTCCGTTACGATTTCCTTACGCACACGCATGCCGGCAGCAGTGTGTAGCCTCCCCGGCTCTGTTGCCATTTATCCCAAGCGTTCCCCTTTCATCAGTTTATTTTTCACTTACATTTTACGACGTTCGTGCGGCAGTGCGACGAGAAAACAATCGTCATATGAATTTACGTATTCAAATTTCCATCGTTAATAACCCTTCAACCCTTCAAATTTCACTGAACACCGTAATACCTAGCTATGCTCTTTGTAATTTTCCTTTGCTCTTGGTCTACAGTGCGAAGACTTTGGTCATAAACCATGGTTGGAGTAATAAATTCACATAGCAGGCGAGTATCAAGGTTTACTAGATAAAATTCAGGGGCCAATATGCCTTTGTTTAGGTTCCGAGTATCCAGGTGTTTCGATTCTCTAGCATTATCTTAAGCAAATCCGGTGGTTAACTTCGATAAACCTGTGATGAATAAATATTCCGATTCAACGACGTAGGTTTTGGGTCACATAGTCTTTAAATCTCTCACTAGGTTAGGTAAGATTAAGTATTCGATCCTAACAGTGGTATCTTTTGGACAGCCTAGAACGCCGTGAAATTTTGGCACCAAAAATCACCTATACTATACTCGGTCAGAAGCGCTAAGTCTAAAACATTCTTCGCGGAGTGTCACTTATGATGGAAATAATGTAAAACTTTCAACTATTTTTTGGTAATTCTCAGCACCACGTGGAACCACCACTGAACCATATAAAAAATAAACATCTTAATCTAACAAACAACGGTTAACAATAGATTATTACAAAAGATATTTCTTTGAAATTGAGCTGTTTCACAAGTTCATAAAACAAGAGCACTCAAAAGCTGAGGTACAAATAAATAATTTCCAACTCGCGAGCAACCGACAGCGTTTTAATAAAAGTATTTTCTCTTCGCTGCTCTGGCAACACGCACCGCTCATTTTTAGCTTAGCCACTTCTGCTGTGTTTCGCAGACTTTTCCCCAGCGCTGACTAGTTGGCTTGCTTGTCAAGGCCTTATAACTCAACACGATATTTTTTCGTGAAGTGTTTTTGACATTTCAAAAATTATGTACCGAAATGAGTTATGCGATTGTGCACGAAAAGCGGAGCAGCGCGTCGCATTGTTGGAGTTCATTAGCGGTGGACACATAATATACGTATGTGTGCGGCTGTGTGGCTGGGCTAGTGGGCAGCCGATTTGCTGTTGTTGTTGTCGTCGTTAAAGATATGAGCGCTGCGATAAGCGTTCGCAGGTTTTCGCTGCTGCCTGAAAGCACTTTTTTCTTACGATTCTGTTGTATTTTAATAAATGTGCACTACAATAGTGCTAATTGTGGCATGCCGCATGCGGTCTACCGCGTTGTGCCACCTCTGTTGCCGCGCTGAAAGCGAAACAAATTCTTACACAAACGCGCCGCCCGGCCGTCGCGTACTGCAGCGCTTGGCGGTGCTTGTTGACTGTTGCCTGCCGGTGCGTGTGGCAGCTGGCTGGTGGCAGTGGGTGGACATCATAAATTCATGCTACAAGTGACATAGAAAATAAACAACTCAGGCTTTTAATTATTCTGCAAAGCGAATGAGGTTGTTCAACACGCCTTTATTTGTTATTTTCGCTGATGATTCGCAATGACATCAATTATCACGCGGCCACCGTAAATACACTGTGCTATTTGCTTTATTGATTTCGCTGGCATTTGCACCTTGTTGGCTGCGCTTTCTTATTTATTGTAAGAGAAAGTAGTAAGCGAAATATGCTCACCCTCTTCTCCGCCCATTTACAGTTATAAAAAGCGAATTTTCGCATTATATTACTCATCGTTTATTGCTCATCCCTTTTGCTAATGCGCACTGGCTATTGAGAATGCCGAAATTCCCGAGGTTAGCTTTTGCGGTTGTTACGCTCGGCCATTTCATTATCAACACCTCGGCTTCGGCGCTCGTTAATCCATTGCCGACAAATGCAATAAAACTAAATATGCAAATTTTCCCGCTTTTTATGACAACTCAACACATAAATTTGAATTTTCTGCAGCTTTGTCGCTGTCGGCCGACGCCTCGCCGCTCTGCCGCCGTTGGCTTACGAAAATGCTCGTAGGCTTCTAGTTCATGCAATAAGTCTTCGTGTGTGTGTGTGTGTTGGTGCGTCTGCGACTTTGAGGCATATCTGCTGTTGCAACCTACAACGTGCCACACTTAACATGAACAGACAGTTATTGCGCCTCTAATGCCGCGCTTACGCTTACGGTCCGATAGCTTAGCGGTCACACGCGATCCTTATCGCACGACTCGATAAGAGGTGTGCGCATTGCTGTTTATTACCTCGCCAACAACAATAACACTGGCAACGCAGAAAGCAGCAACATGCCTTTGAACATTTGCTGCCTTTATTATTATTTTATTAATTTCATAATTCTTACCGAAAACCCAAAAACAACAACGAGATGTTCCGACTACGCAACATGCATATATATTCATATTCACGTATACATATGTATGTACAAAGTGCTGTATACTATTTGGCCGAAAGGTCCCCTGCATTCAGGAACGCGGTCAGTTGCAGGCGATTCGCTTCGTTCTCGTTTTATCGCTATTTATTACTTCTATGTTGTTGTTGGTGTTGCACCGCTCTCCCTGCCAGGTCAACTCAATACGGTCAAAAGTACAATTTTATTGCGTGTTCTCTGTCCGCTATCCGTTACACTGCGCTTTGTCTTCTGCTTGGCTCAGTTAGGATCGTTCTGCTAGACACTTCATTCCTTATTTGTCTGCCTTCTTGCCTTCTTTTGAAAAAGCGATTCATCGACGGCGGCGTTTGTTGTTGCTGTTGTGATGATAAATGTCCTTTGAATTAGTTCAGCTGCCGTTTGACGCCGTCGAATGAATTCTTCGCAATGAAATATTAATTAAGCTATGAAAATTAGTATTTTTTGTAGCAGTTTCACTTTCCTACTGCTCTGCGCACAGAAATGTTTGTATGTATGTGTGTATAAGCATGTAGATTCCTTTATATGAGCGTGGTGTTGGCGGTACTTCTGGTTTTTGAGGATCTGAGCGCATTAAATTTTTATTAGCCCTTGATGTGTCGGCCTGATATGCTAATTTGTGACAAATGTTGCAAGTCTAATTATTTCGCATTGTTTTGGGCAAAGTGCAGCTACTAGGGTTCAATGTAAGAGTGCTAATCTTTAGAGTTGAATGCACTTATAAATAATATAGTTTCAAAAAATCTGCTTCTGCTCTTCAGAAAGCTAGTTATTTATGAAATAAAAACAAAAATTTCACACCCTCCTTTTAGAGACGCCACCAAAAGGAACCAACCTGTTCATGAATGCAACGGTGAAGTGCTCTGTAATCATACTTGAATGGCTTTCACAGAATTGCCTACTATTCCAATTCTAATTGGGCTCAGCGACGGTCTTATTCGCCCACATAATTTCTGCCTCCCACTGTTTTATTGGCCAATCAGTTATGATTTACTTAACAACTTTCCACACCGTCAACTTAGTCGCCACATTTTGCATGTTCACAGCTTATTAGCCGCATATACAAAACGACTCCATTAAAATTATGGCATTTCGGCAACTTTACATTAAGTGCCACATACATACATCCGTACATGTATATACTCGTTCACATTACTTCTTAATTTTCATAGTACTAACTACAAAAGCTAACTACGCTTTCAATATCATACTAATCGGCTACTAAATAGGATAATGAACTGTTGGCAGTAGGCGTGAGGCTTGCGAACACGGAGAGGTGGCTTCAAATGTACGAAAATTTGTTAAAAATCTATATATAGGACCTAATCATATACATCTTTCCAAGTTTATGTGAAATTAAATTGGAAATGATATTTTCACTCTTAAAGCAGTTCGATACGGAAGTTACGGGTATTATTTCCAATTAAAAAAGAAATATGCACAAGCAAAAATAACCGGGGCATATTTATTATACATTATATAAATAAATATATTTATTTTAAAGTTCTAACGCTCAAATTCCGGCTTTCGTTTTATTTTTTTTTTCATCACAGACGCATGTTCCCCACGGTGCGCGTTAGCTTTTCCGGTCCTCTGCGTCAGATACAGCCACCCGACCGTTATGCTGTGGTGTTGGATGTGGTGCCGATGGATTCACGACGCTATCGATATGCTTATCACCGCTCATCGTGGCTGGTCGCGGGCAAAGCGGATCCACCGCCACCAGCGCGGCTTTATCCACATCCCGATTGTCCCATAAGCATGGAGGCGCTCAGAAAGCAGGTGGTCTCTTTCGAGAAAGTGAAACTAACAAATAATGAAATGGACAAAAATGGGCAGGTTAGTCAATTAGAGTTGTGTGTAAGCAGGAGATTTATAAAATTAATGAAAAAGATTCACGCTAGTGTCAAATTTAGTCACAGCAAACATGCTAAAAATTCATAAAAATCTTTAATTCTTATTTATGTTTCTGCAACTTTGAAACCACTTCACAGATCGTGCTGAACTCCATGCACCGTTATCAGCCGCGCATACATCTAGTGCGACTCGCTCATGGGCAGAATATACCCACCAACCCGAAGGACCTGCAGGAACTGGACCACAAAACTTTCGTTTTTCCGGAGACGGTATTCACAGCGGTCACGGCTTACCAAAATCAATTAATCACAAAGTTGAAAATCGACTCGAACCCCTTCGCAAAGGGATTTCGTGATTCTTCGCGTCTGACGGACTTTGATCGGTAGGTAACACACACACATACATGCACCTTAACGCAGCACAGGCAGCGCTTTTTATGAACTTTTGAGCTTACAATTGACCATTCATCAGCTATCGCTCCATACCGAAATGCTCGTTGCCATTGGCTATTCGGGGTCCACACACATCACTCTCCGCTTTCTTTGCAAGTCTGCTCGAACATTCGGTAGTGAAAATGATTAATTGCAGTCGACGCTTGTCAAAACACGTTCACATTCTTGTCTCACCTCAGCCACTGCCAAAGGCAAAGCGAGCGAGACAAGCAGCCACAAAAAGCCACAAAAGCCAATTTAGCAATAAATAAATTTTCAGCAACAATTACGCAGATCACTTGCAGCGCATGTTGCGTGTGGAGGCCTCGGAGCTTTCATGCGGCATGCGTGTGACGGAGAATGAAGTGTTAAGGAATATCTCGCATATCATAAAAGCTGAAAAGTGTTTGGCCCGAAAATTTGCTAAATTCGGATATGAAAAAATTGAGAGATAATAAAGTTCGGAATGCTTGCGGTGTGGCAAGCATCAAAATCAGTAGGAATTTCGAAAGGCAAGCTGTGTCGCAAGTGGCAGGAGAGATTTTTTATTATTCGACACTTTCGTCGCAAGAGCAGGCCACGGAGCACAAACGCCGACAGTGTTCGGCTTTGGCAAATTAGCAACAGCAGCAATAAAGCAGCGTAAACGCTTCGCACAGTAGTGTGCTCCTATATGCGGTACACGCAGGCGAGTACAACAACACAATTAAGCGGCGGCCGTCAGCATTTTAGGTTGGCCGAGAAAATTATAGGTCGGCGCATTTAACTTTGAAGCGCAGTCGTACGTGCAACACGAACATGATCAACTAACGAAACGCTGCTAATAACGTACAATGTTGTTTCCACAACAACACAAAACACAAAAACAGCGCATTAAATGTTTTTGTTGCACTGAATGTGTTACCACTTTTTATTGGCGTTATTTTCATTCATCATCTAAGCTGTTGACCGTGTACCAACTCCCTTCGTTGTAGTACATGTTATTTGCGTTATCCGAATGATAATTGCAATCGCAAATGTGACGATAAAACTGTTCACATACCCACAGACACTTGTAAACTTAGTGCAACATGGCTCCAAGCGGTATTGAGGGCTGTGTTACAGAAATCAGCCTTCGGCAACGCAACGAGTTACAGTTACCTCAAGTCAAATAGTTCTGAATTTGTTTCTATATTTGCTTACAAGAATTTTTCTTTAATAAAATCAAAAAAAATTTGAATTATAATGCCAAGCTTACTTCCAACACTGTTTAAATAAAAGTCTCTTACCCACAGCGACCCCATGGACTCCTTTTTGCTCGAGCAGCATCTGCGCTCGCCGCTGCGCTTCTTTCCCGACCCGCTAATGGCGCAGCTCTCGCCGCAAGAGGCCGACGCCGCGTCGCTGGCATTTCTGGAGAAGGCGCGTCAGCATCTGCAAATGTTTGGCCGTTCGCCGTACACGGAGATGCTCTTGCCGCAGCTGTACCAGCGCCCGCCTGTGCTGAACGCCTTCAACATTGGCATGTGGCAGCAGCAGTGGCCGCAGCTGACCGCCGGCTTCATAGCGAGCGCCAATCAACAGGCAGTCGCTGCACAAGCCGCCGCTGCCGCTGCAGCAGCGGCCAACGCATGCCGCACGCCACCACCGCCCCCGCCATCGTCCATTATGGTTGGTGTGCCACCGCCGCCACCGGCCACTACACCCTCTTCATCCGGTTCGGCCTCGCCGGATTTGCGTATAAGACACTTTCAGCGCTACAGCCCGTATCAGGTGCCGCATCCCCAGCAACAACAGCAACAAGTGCCGCAGCATCAGCCGCCACTAACGCGCTCGCCTCCACTATGAGGAGCGGTCTGAAGAACGCGGGGATTTAAATGTGCAATCTAATATTTTGCTTTTAATGTCAACGGATATTGATCTGCTATTTGGCGTTGCCAGCTTGAAAGGAAGAAAGGAAGTGATTATGGAATTGTAGAATATTTAGATGTGCGTTTGCAGTATTAAAATTATTCAAATTAGGCAATTGCGATTATGATTACGTAATGCAATGTAAAAATGCTAATTCAAATGAAAACTGTTTAATTTATTGTATTTGTAAAAACGGTACTTTATTTATATATATATGTTCCTAATCAATTTGTATATGTATGTATGTAGTTCATAATGAAAAATATTTAGAAATATATAATAAATGTATAAAATATAAAAAAATGTAAAAATATGTCTAGCGTTGTAAAACTAAAACAATAATAAATTAATGAGCTTTCAAAAATTATGAAAAAGATGTAATTAAGCAAGGCACGGCACAGAGGGGGGTAAATTGTATTAACGTGTATGACCAGATATAAGAAAATAATTCGAGCTGCTATTCTCTAGACTGAATAAGGAAGCGAAGCAAATGGGTCCGGTAGTAAACGAGGGCGAATATCTCCTGTCATCAAACAAACAGCACTCGCGCCTAGGCTCCCACGTCACTGTTGGCACTCATAACTTCGAAGTTGGAGATCAAGCAGTGAATAATAGCGACGTGAACCACTGCGCCTTCTGCAGAGCTCTTTCAAGCACTTTTGGATTTCTTTAATCCTCACATGTTCCTTCAAAACTAACGTTTTGAGTTCTCGTTTCCGTAACGAGAACTTCATCTAATTGCAGTTGTTTAAGTGTAACTTGTATGGCGTACAATAGCTGATGACTTGCCTTGATAAGTATTTATTTTTATAACTATACATACATACACATCAAAATATATAATATGGTAATTAATAACACATAGAAAACGGAAGACAATTGAGATAACTGTTGGCCTTCTTTGATCCAAATATTTTCCTCATATATTAAGTCCTTTATTTCATGAAGGAGGCATACACGGTTGCAATAGCCAACTTTTTACCATTGAAATAAAAAGTCGATTGATAAGCATAATCTCCGTGAGGGGACGGAAGCACGTTTGTAACTAAATTGTCGACGTGGGAAACTGGGAGCTTGTCCAGCATTTCATCCTGCTAAATATCGGAATGTTAACTGTTACACGAGCAAATTGTATACTATTATAATATGAAAGCATAGTTACCTGTCCATAGGGGCAGGTTCTATTGATGGTGGAGTATTTTTCGAAAAACTGATGTGCGAAGCGAATAACCGGGTTCTTGCGTGTTCTCAGATATTTACAGGCGTCAAGGGTTATGTTGTATAGAAAGGGTTTGTAGCCGTTTTCCTTTCGCAGCATCGCAAAATTCACCTAAATTAATTTTGCTGTAATGACAAGACAGCGCGTGTTCGTGATTGGCTCTACCTTACCTTTATGTCATTAGTGGGTTGCTTTCTGGGGAATCTAGCCCTTATCGATAAATATTTATAGGTGCGATTAATGGACTTTAGTGAACAAATATCGAAGTAAACGGTAGAATTATCGAGGGAAATGCATTTAACATTCGTGAAATCAAGCTTCGAATGTACGAGAATCTAGGAAAGCAATTTAGAATTCATTCTAAAAGTATATACAAACCACAAATAACATTTGAAATACTCACCACCAAAGTAATGCCGAGTAATACCACCATCAGAACCGATTTGTTTGCCATTTTCGAAAACTCTGACAACCACGAGGATCCATATATTGTCATTGAATTTTTATGATATTCTAGTTTAATATTATTTAATTGTTATCGCAAATCAGTTGTTAAAATAATCGTGGTAAATTATTGCCTCCACTGCGTCATTTTGTGGAAATGCAAATCAAGTGTGAAAAGTTTCTAAAAGTATCCACGGATTTCCCAAAACATTTTAAGAATGCACTTTACACTCCTGTTCGGTGTTGGATCGATTGCAAGTACGTGTGTGGTATTTTCTGATTCTGTGGTATTTTCAAAGCTTTTCCTTATCTTCCTATTGCTTCCATCCTTCGCATAGCTTGCCATGTTAGCCAACCCCAAACATTTTCAATTACGTTAAGATGTGAAGAATATGGTGGCCATGACATTAAGGTTTTGACGACTTTACTACTCGACCGTTATTATTCAAGGAATTGGTTCAAAGAGATCATTTGGTTTTGGAAATACGTACTCCAACAATGTTTTGAAGCGATCGCTGTTCGTTTTCTGATCGATAAAAATCAAGTCAATTGTTCCATAAAACATGATAGCATCCCACACCATGACTCCACCTTCTCGCCTGTTGTGGCGACTTAAATAGAGGTCATCGTTGGTGAAAATTCATTTACATTGAAGTCTCTTATGAAGGGTCATTTCAGCTGATACGATCTACGGTAAGAATCAATTTGAAGATTTCGTTCACTTAATCGAAGGCTATTGGATGTCAGAAATCGTGAATGAGAAATTGAAATGTGGTCGGGTATGAACGGTTTCTTTTGGAGAGCAATATAAGTAGACAGAGCTTATTTCGTAAATTAAGTACGCTCTATAAAGCACCGTTTGGGCAATTATTTTAATTCTCGCACGCACTTATAATTGAGATCAGGCGCATTTTCATTTCTCTTGCGTGTCTCTGTCTCGTTTCTGGAAAGCGCTTAACGATCTAATAAATACGTAAGGGCACATTAAATATCTAATTCGTTGACACAGGTATTAATTATAGAGTGCGCTTTCAATACATTACACTAACAAATCAATGAAAGCAATTATAAATCAATAAGCCATATTGACTCAGTAACAGCTGAGCGAGGTCTCCTGTTCCGAATACATACATACATACATAGGTATGCGTTTAACGTAATAATTATTATGCCTATAAATGATAATAAGGCATATTCATACATATGTACATATGTGTGTATGTGTCAGTTTAATAACTTAATTTTCACCTGCGTTGTTGACGTTGTCATAATAGCAGCTGATATTTAGATAACCTAACGCTTTTCAAATGCTCCACTTATGCCAGCACTCCCATAGTAATTAAAAAGCGTTTATGCGCGCCTACGAAAATGACTTTATTTAAACTTACAGCTGCGTCATTTTTGAATTTTTAATGGCGTCTTTGAGAAACTTTGAGAAAGTGACACACTTTCAAAGGCTCCTCAAACATTCTCGATGACCGAGCGAACCAAACTTTCGGACTTCTGAGCGCTGTTGTGGGAGCGCACAGAATTAGTCGAAACATTAATCGCCCGCCGCCGTGAGTCTAGCCTATTAATGTGATTTTGACTACAATGTATGCTTGTACAGGGCATGGACATGTAGAGTGGAACATACTTAGGCATGCACGAGGGGACAATACAGAAAATTACATATAATTATAAAATGTCATGCCTTTAAACTGCAAAGTTGCTCCACGTGTTCGAAGATGCATTAATAGCAGACTAATTCAAATAGCGTGCTATTAATTGAAACGCCAGTAATAATGGAAACGAGTAACAGCTAACGGAACAGAGCATATTTATATTTTTAATTTTATTTGTATTTCTATATATGTACACATTAAAATATATATATTTTTTTTTTAATAATAAGTAAAGCAGAAGATGTTTGAAATAATTGTTATCCTTCGTCGATCCAAGTACTCTCCTCACATATTAGCCGCCTTCTTACTTTAATGAGCCATATACTGTTATTATAGCCAACTTTGAATTATATAAAAAGAAAGTAACTTGGTAAGCATAATCTCCGTGGGGATATGGAAGCACGTTTGTAAGCAAATTGTTGACGTGAGAAACTGGGAGCTTATCCAGCAGTTCATCCTGCTAAATAGCGGAATGTTAACTGTTACTATTACAATATGAAAGCATAGTTACCTGTCCATAGGGGCAGGTTCTATTGATGGTGGAGTATTTTTCGAAAAACTGATGTGCGTAGCGAATAACCGGGTTGTTGTGTGTTCTCAGATATCTACAGGCATCAAGAGTTATATTGTAGAGAAAGGGTTTGTAGCCGTTTTCCTTTCGCATCATGGCGAAATTCACCTAAATTAATTTCTTTGTAATAATATGACACCGACTGGCCGTGACTGTCTCCACTCACCTTTATGTCGTAAGTGGGTTGCTTTCTGGGGAATCTAGCCCTTATCGTTAAATATTTGTAGGTGCGATTAACGGACTTTAATAAACAGATATCGAAGTACACGGTAGAATTATCGAGGGAAATGCATTTAATATTCGTGAAATCCAGCTTTGAATGTGCGACAAGCTAGGAAATCAGAAGTTTAGAATTCATACCACAAGCACAAAACTACAAGTTAAGGTTTGAAATACTCACAACAAAAGTAATGCCGAGTAATACCACCGTTAGTACCGATTTGTTCGCCATTTTCGAAAACTCTGACAACATCGACCTTCCTAGCTTAATACTATATATTGCAAAAAATTTAAATGAAATTCTACTATTTGATTATTGAAAGCCAATTAATATCACAAATCGGTTGTTTAATTAATTGCGGAAAATATTTAGCTGCACTGGGGTCATTAACAGAAAAATAAAAGGGAAAAGTCAAAATTTTTTTAAGAGTAAATGTAAGCTCAGAAACGGTTTCATATTTTTCAACGGGTTTTTGGAATCTGCTATAAACTACTATTCAATGGTGGCTCGAAACCACGAAAATTTGAAGAAGACTTAGGTGGATAAGTAGGTTGGGAGGCGTTCTAACGACGGATTTATTCCCTTAGGATATCCATTGTAATAGCATCACCTCTACTCTCAACCACTGCATGCTGTTGATGAAGTTTGGAGAAATTCATTGTGTGTAGACCGAGTTGAGTAATAATTTATGTGAGTGTTGCTAAAGGAAGCCAGACGGATATTTTCCAGTTGTTTTGATGTCGAACTTAAGGTTTGCCGAATAAGCGCGACTGAAAAATGATTTTCATAACCGACATCCAAAAACTCCTTCATGGTAGGAAATGCCATAAGTGCATCTTGCCTACCTGGTTTTCAAAAATAACCAGCTGTTTAAAAACTGTCTATTTTCGCCAGCAAGAAAAAATCAGTTTCCGACAATTCGTTATCAACTATTTCTAATGTTGTAAATACACCAACTCTTTTAAAGCCAATGTGAATAATTTGAGGGGTAACTCACCACCAAGATCTCTTAACATAATATGTTGCCTTAAGAATTCGAATTATTTTTAGAAATGATCCCCTGCAAGTACATTTTTTCGAATCAGACACTTTCCCTTGTAATGTGCTTTGAAAGCTTGGATTATGCATTGGCTACAATAAACTAGTAGTAAACGGCGTTAAAAATCATTTATATATTTTGTGAAGTGAAACTAAGCTTATGACATGCATCGTTATGAATTGGTAGAACAATTTTTTTTATTTCTTTGAAGTTTGCCGTTTAATTCTTTTATAATTTTAGTCCATTTAATACAAGTCATCCCAGCGTTTTTTTTTTTTTTTTTTTTTTTTTTTTTTTTACGAAACAAGAACAATTTTACAATGATACCTT